CAGGCATATTTTTCAAGCTTGCCCGGTGTGGATATACACTCAGAGTAACATCACAAGCATCTTATTCACCTGAGTACATTGCACCAACACTGAAAATATCATTATTACTAGATTACATTGATATCGATAAACTAGATTCTGTTCCCAAATATCACATACTCGAACCGACCAGACCACGTAGCTCAGTTGGCAGAGCATTGGGCTAGCATTCCAAAGGTCGTAGGTTCGATTCCCACCGTGGTCAGGCATATTTTTCAGGCTTGCCCGGTGTGGATATACACTCAGAGTAACATCACAAGCATCTTATTCACCTGAGTACATTGCACCAACACAGAAAATATCAGAACTAAATTATATTTTACATAGCTGACTATACAGTATATGTATTTTCAATATGTACTTTTACTAAAACTAACTGCATAACAAACAACTTCTCATTCTGATATAGTGCTCTGGCCTATAGGCTATATAGTCCAATTACTGTATTTGGCTAATATGAGCTGTTGTCTGTTGAGATCGTGAGAGACTTCTTAAAACATTGAAACCAGTGTAATTTTTAAACAGTGAAAAAACATGATATACTATGCAGCACACTAATTCAACATTAACCCATCAATGTTCAACGCTTTTGGCTTGGTAATGTTTAACAAATACTATAATATAGTATTTATAATATACTATAATATATACTATAATATATATATATATATATATATATATATATATATATATATATATATATATATATATATATATATATATATATATATATATATATATACCGGGTGTCCCAAAAAAAAGTACTCCGGTTTGATTCGTAATAACTTCTAACCAAGTAAAGCTTTTAAAGAGAAATAACTTGCATCAAATAGAGGAATGACTAACTTAGATTTTGATATATTACAGTTGTATTTCACTTCAAAATTCACGGAGATATTAGTGTTTAAAATCGGGAGCATATTCCTGGATGTGTCTGAAATATGCAAAAAACGGCGTATCAAATATTAACCAAGATTTGCCCGACTGAAACATGCACTATTACCAGTAAATAAATTACACTTGACAAATTGTTTATTATGAAACAAAGTATTATTATACAAGCAAAATTTATTCGTCCGAAATCCGCGTGTGCTCCTGGCACGAATACGTTTCCTTATTTCATGAGACCACTTCACGAAGGATCATCATGGATCGTTCGTTCGTAGTTCTGAATTAGGGCATGCTAGCTGTCACAATGGGATTGTGAATTTTTTAACTTCACATTGAATGAATTTTCTAACTTCTGCAACGTTCTGAAATCTTGTTAAGAACACCCAAACTCTTTTGCCTTTCTTAATCTTGACAAGTTCAGAATAAACTGAGAATGAAACAAAATCAAACTAGGCATACAACTCCATAAGTAAAGACATAACAAGCAACTCCCCAGAGACGTCCAACATTTTTGGAACAAAACGTAACAAAATAGTAGCTTTGATACTGTGATGTGTATTTGCAAAAAGCAATATTATTTCCTTCATTAAAGAATAATATTCATCCTGCTCTAACCGAGAAATAATCAACTTTGTTTTGAACCCATGAAACACATAAAAAAATTAGGCTATTTAAGAAAAATTTAAGCGCCTGCCTTCAAGGTCTTTCATGTACCTTTAAGTTTGCAAAGACCTATTAAATACTTGCATAATTTTGAAAGTTCATATTTCAGGAAACAATGACTTAAGACATACATGTAAGATGTCTAAATCTACGCCATATCTCTTACAAACCCTAACGACAATTCGCTGAAATACAAGTTGGCCTGATATGTCATTAAGCAAACAAACGCTGGAGTTAATATTTGATATGCCGATTTTCGCTAATTTTAGACACATCCCAAAATGTGCTCCCGATTTTGAACATTAATATCTCCGTGAATTCTTAAGTAAAATACAACTGTAACATATCAAAATCTAAGTTAGTCCTTCCTCTATTTAATGCAATTTATTTCTGTTTGATAGCTTTACTTGTTTAAAAGTTATTACAAATCAAACAGGAGTACTTTTATATATATATATATATATATATATATATATATATATATATATATATATATATATATATATATATATATATATATATATATATATTTATATATATATATATATATATATATATATATAGACAAGTATCGAGTTTGCAATCATATGTGAGTAGAGTGCTCAATACCGTAGTAGAGCTGATAAGATTAGAAGACAAACTTGAATTACTTCATATGAACTTTATTTCACTACAAATTTGTTTCGTATGACAAGACGAGTCTTGCCACACTCATCAGGTGAATTTAAATAACGCGCTATGATATATATATATATATATATATATATATATATATATATATATATATATATATATATATATATATATATATATATATATATATATATATATATATATATATATAACTACAGACGGTACCGTTTCGGCCTTTTGGGCCTCATCAGTGTAGTGCTGACACAGGAGGCCCAGGCTCGATTTGCCCGCGCCCGCCTGTGCCTTCCTTATAACGAGGGAAGGACGGAGACATTGAGACCAAAATAGCCCAGACTTGGCATATGTCACACGAAACTATCCTCGATTTTTCGCTTTTAATGCATTTCTTTCACGATTAGTCGATATCCCCTGCAAGAATGATACCGTATAACTCTCAAAACAACGATGCTTTAATCAAAGAGCTTAAATTCGCTCTAAACTTCGTGAGGGAACGACAAAATTCGGCCAAAATATATCCGCGTGCCGGGTTTCCTGGACAAAAAGCGGAAGTCGTTGAACAACACAAAATACACTCAAACCTGATTGGACAACGAATATCAACAAACATTTCAAATTATTTTAACAGTACTGTAATAATTTCAATCATACAAACAAAACTATTCACAAACGTTATAATAAAGTGTAAATATTACTGCATGTAAATATAACTGTAGTACGTTAATATGTATAATAAATTGTATTTCACATTGTCGACATTGTGTTTGTCAAAAAAAATTGAAATGTTTGTTGATATTCGTTGTCCAATCAGGTTTGAGTGTATTTTGAGTTGTTCAACGACTTCCGCTTTTTGTCCAGCAAACCCGGCAAGCGGATATATTTTGGCCGAATTTTGTCGTTCCCTCACGAAGTTTAGAGCGAATTTAAGCTCTTTGATTAAAGCATCGTTGTTTTGAGAGTTATACGGTATCATTCTTGCAGGGGATATCGACTAATCGTGAAAGAAATGCATTTAAAGGTGAAAAATCGACGATAGTTTCGTGTGACATATGCAAGTCTGGGCTATTTTGGTCTCAAAGCTTCCTTCCTTCCCTCGTTATAAGGAAGGCACAGGCGGGCGCGGGCAAATCGAGCCTGGGCTTCCTGTGCTGTGACCTAAGTTTCCATTCCAGCATTTTTTAATTGCTGTTTTCTACAGTTTCCTCCGGTTGTAATACTGGATAATTAAGAGATGACCCTGATTGGACCTCTAGGGAGAACAGTTTAGAACTGTTAAAGCTATCCAGTATAAATAAAGTTAGTTTAGTTTAGGTTTCCTCCTGTTAGTAACACTGGATTAATAAGAGATGATTCTTACTGGACCTCTAGGAAGAACAGTTTAGAACTGATAAAGTTATCCAGTATAAATAAAGTTAGTTTAGTGCGGGTTTCCTCCTGTAATAACACTGGATCAATAAGAGATGATCCTTACTGGACCTCTAGGAAGAACAGTTTAGAACTGATAGTGCTATCCAGTGTAAATAAAGTTAGTTTAGTCTAGGCTTCCTCCTGTAGAAACACAGAATCATTAAAAGATAACCCTTACTGGATCTGTAGGAAGAACAGTTTAGAATTGCTAGAGCTAAATCAGTATAAATAAAGTAAGTTTAGTTCTGCATAAATTGGCTCCACATGTGATGTTTACTTAGTCCCACAGACTAAAACATAACTTTCTATATGGCCTCAGAAAGTCAACTTAAGGAATTATTTTATGTGTGTAGGTTTTTCTGGTGACCAGTTTGCGTTCGAAGATTCAATATTGGGCAATGTGGTGACCCTCACAGGAAGGGATGGAGTCAAAATACCTTGTACTGTGGTACAAACTGACACATCTACTACGAAAATTTCATGTGAATTGGGGTAAATTTTATTCTTATCCTTGAGCGATTAGAGGATCAATCTACCTGACCGATATAACAAGAGCTACTTAAGATGAAGGTCTCGTGACACTTTATTGCATATTATCCGGCACTAATGCAGTTAAGATTTATATTCTCTCGTTGCTTTTTTATTATCATTATCCTCACTATGCCTATATATTACAAATAATAACTTAAAATGTATAACTTAAATTGTACTTAACATTTTTTCTAACTTATAAATTATTCTTACTTTCATAAGTGTTTCCAACTCCTCTTATTGCATTTGTTGGCCCAGGGAAAAGTGCCACCCCCCCCCCACCCTCGCCTCTCGGCAAGCCAAATCTTTTTATATTTTTATATTTTTCTTAGGAAACCTCCAGCAGGCCACGAGGGAGATACATATTCACTCTCAATCACAGTCAATGGTGAACCATTGGGCGGGGGACATCGTTATACCTATTGCTGGGGCACTTGTAGATTTTATGTGAGTTTGTCATTAAATTATACAATACATACTCTTCGTTTGTACGATGTATATCAACGTACAGATACACTGATAACCTGACCCTCACCCTACCCTCTAACCCCTCACCCCACCCTCTAACCCCTCACCCCACCCTCTAACCCCTCACCCCACCCTCTAACCCCTCACCCCACCCTCTAACCCCTCACCCCACCCTCTAACCCCTCACCCCTGGTTACGTCTACAATAAATGTATAAAAATTCCATTCGACATTTCCATCTACAAATTCCTTCAGCAAGACGTTTATCTTTGTTGAATAATTCTACAATTTGTAAAAATTCTTTATATGAAAGATTGTGATCAGTGTTATGTACGTAGGTGGGGTTATATTTAAGATTCCAATTTGTCAATTTACAGTTCCAAACCGGGAGGACACCAACAATTACGAATATCGATAAACAGGCCGGCCTACCAGGTACAAAAATTGAATATACAATGAGGTACACGATTTTTTCAGTGTAAACTGTAAAAGTTTGTACCTCTCATGAAATAAAGTAGACCCCTATTATACATTATTCTATGTACTATGAGACATGGACAAGGTGAAAAGCAAATTGTTTTATTCTTTGCTATTGAACATATACCCAGAAAACAAAGCTTCGAAAAAAGAATGCCTGCATTATTCAGTGGCTACATTGGCGGTAGGTAGTTTGCAATAATGAAGGTGAATCACATTGCATAAAGAACATTCACACTGTATTTTCAGATCAAGTTATAAAGATCACAGGAAGATTGTACACCAGTCAATTTGGTCGTCTTTCCGACAACACTGGCGATAGTTTTGATCATAGTACTCATCCTACCGAAATTACACGGTTCGTACAAACAAGATGACTTCATATATACTGGATAGCTTATAAACAGTGGAAAATAATTTGCGAAATATTTTTTGGGGTGGGAAATCAAGTTGCCAACAATACGACTACCTCTTTTCGCTAATAACAATAAGAAACTTTAATCAAACTCACTAGGAATATATTTACAACATCATGTGAGAACGTAACAAAAGACATTATAACAAACAAAGGCGAGTTAGATATGGGATCGGCGAACGGACTCGAAGTCCCAACAAGGCAAACCCCACACATAAATTACAACTAGAAATTTACACTACGAAAACATAAAATTTCAATCAAAGTTCTCTAATACCACTGAACAGACAGCCCAGTCTCTTCCTCAGGTTGACTGCACATACCAACTTAGAAACAAATTAATTTATTCGGAATTATTTCAGAAAACAATCCTAATCCTAACCCATGCGCTAATACTAACCCTAATTCTAATTTTAAAGATAGGGGTGTAGCTGGAGTACTTTTTGCCTTAAATGTCATGTAATATATAGCTTAATTTATAGCCTACGAATGCTACCATGCCCATGGTTAAAAAACTATTGTTACAGCTTTGGTACACAGTTATTCAGCTATTACTCAAAGGCTTTCAGAATTATTGGGTTATTATGGGGGGAGAGGGGTAAAGATCATCCCTTTACTATTCCCATTCTACAACAAGAGGAAAACCAAGTACTAGGAGAAAACCTGTCACACTGCGTAATTATCGAGCAATGTCTCATTTCATGATCTCATTGCGTATGTTTCACTCAAATATGAAGTACCTTAACAGTTTTATCATGCAATAGACAATTCCCACTATAGACTAATTTTTTATCTTGGCATAAAAAGTATATTCCCGGAAAAAGCATACTAAAATGAGTAAAATTGCAAAGTTTGGTTGCGAAACGTTGTAAAAGGCGCAAAATATAGCCTTGCAAAGTTCGCAAATTTTGTATACTTTTGTATTGGGTGCGGAAATTGCTAGCACATTTGGGCCGAAAATGGCAGCAATTTCCACACGCAATACAAAGTCAAAGTATACACAATTTGCGAACTTTTTGCAAGGCTATATTTTCCGTATTTTACAACATTTCGCAACCAAACTTTGCAATTTTACTCATTTTAGTGTGCTCTTTCTAGCTGTGATAATTTTGCATCTCCTTGCCAAGTTTTAAAATTAGTCTAATATGGGAATTGTCTATTCCTGAGTGAAATATTTTGTTTTCTAGAGTGTATCTTGGTGGGTACAACTGTGACACCAACGATGAAAATGGACAAGTGTAAGAATGTTCTTGATAACTTTTTACATGATGCTGCTCAAAAAAGTGCCTGAGAGGAATGCTGGTCTTAGTAGTCATCGCCCGGGAAAATTAAACAATTCAAAACGGCCACTATCGACATTTTCCCAGGCGATGACTACTAAGACCAGCATTCCTCGCGGGCATCAAGCCTTGTGACGTCATTATGCATAAGGTCTATTGCTTGATCCATGAGACCCATTTATACATGCAATGTTTGTTGCGATTTTAGCTGCGGAATCTCTTCTTCTGATGGATGTGAACGAGTGGACGAGTTATAAATGTTCAGACCAGAGTACACCTACTCAGAACATTCATTACTCATCTACTCGTTCACATGCACCAGAAGGAGAAAATCGAGAAGAAATATAGGCATTTAAATACAAATCTTTTCTAAATCTCACCGTAGGTATGGAATAACCTATGTGCCATATTCTGGACACTTCATATGTAGAGGAGAAATCACAGCACCAGGTGAATAATGCCTTTCAACAAAAATTATTTCCTCTGGTCAATAAAAGTTCCCTTTATCATCTCTGTGATCAGAGTTGTAACCATGCAGTGTTACTACAGGAGGAAACCTAAACTAAACTAAACAAAACTAAACTAACTTTATTTATACTGGATAGCTCTATCAGTTCTGAACTGTTCTTCCTAGAGGTCCAGTAAGGATAATCTCTTATTGATCCAGTGTTACTACAGGAGGAAACCTAAACTAAACTAACTTTATTTATACTGGATAGCTCTATCAGTTCTAAACTGTTCTTCCTAGAGGTCCAGTAAGGATCATCTCCTATTGATCCAGTGTCAATACAGGAGGAAACCTAAACTAAACTAACTTTATTTATACTGGATAGCTCTATCAGTTCTAAACTGTTCTTCCTAGAGGTCCAGTAAGGATCATCTCTTATTGATCCAGTGTTACTACAGGAGGAAACCTAAACTAAACTAACTTTATTTATACTGATAGCTCTATCAGTTGTAAACTGTTCTCCCTACAGGTCCAGTAAGGATCATCTCGTATTGATATGTAGTTGTCATTATAATTTCTACCCATGCAGTTGCATGAAAAAGAGTACTTCCAGTTTCACTCTATCAAACACTACAGGTTATCCTATCATCCTGTAGTAACACTGGATCAATAAGAGATGATCCTTACGGGATCTCTATAGGAAGAACAGTTCAGAACTATTACAGCTATCCTGCAGTAAAAATAAAGATAGTTTAGTTTAGGTTTCCTCCTGTAGTAACACTGGATTAATAAGAGATGATCCTTACTGGACCTCTAGGAAGAACAGTTCAGAACTGATAGAGCTATCCAGTATAAATAAAGATGATCCGAGAACAGTTTATACTAGACTCTGTATATTTTTGGAAATATGAAAGTTCATCTTCTACAATGCAGGTTCCTACGGTGTCTCTTATCTCGTCTCGAATTACGGTCGATCACAGATAAACAACAACGATCTTAGTCTTGTCGATGCTAACGATGTTATTTATGAATATCAAGCTCATTCGGGTAAGATTTGGACATTACCACCAATAGATAAATACCGAGATTTTGCGCATCTCGTTCGATACTACCAATACTAGATAGGTTTTGTAGATGAAATTTTCGCAAATTTACATACATTTTTAAACCTACCCGGAGCAATTGCGAAAAAGGACTATAGGCCAGCGATAACTGAAAAACTATCAAACGTATTAATAAGAAAATGTGGAATTAATGGACATTGCCCAAGGACAAATGGATTAAATTTTCAAATGAGAAATTAGCAAAAGTTTGTGTTGCTTTGCTGGGCAGTGTAAACCCTTGAACTATAAATAAACTGGAAGGCTAACTCAGGGGGGGGGGATTGAAGCCAGTGTATTTTAGTTTTTCTGAGTTATGAGCAGAAATACTCAACACTGAACGTTGGGCTATATATCAAATTGAAGCTATTGAAAAACGCTATTTGGTGTAGAAATTTCAAGACTTTAGCTAAAAGGGAAATATTGAAAAACTATACAAACATAATTACCGATAATTTGCCGTTTTGCAGTTGTTTTTGTATTTTTTAAATATTTTTCTTTTCGCTGCCGGAAGTCTTGAAATTTCCACACCGAATAGCAATTTTCAATAGCTTCAATTTGATATATAGCCCAACGTTTGGGATCAAGTATTTCTGCTCATAACTCAGAAAAACTATTTTGGCTTCATCAAATCATAGGCCTTCATCATAGCAGTTAGCCTTCCAGTTTATTTATAGTTCAATGGTGTAAAATGAGTGTGTAATTTGTCCATTGTATAATTTATGCATGACATGTAATTAATTATAATTACGATACTTTTTGTGTGTGTTGGTGTTATGTACTCAGGTGAATATGATGTTTGTGGTGTTACTCTGAGTGTGCATCCACATTGGGTTGTAGGAGTCTGGAGCGCCTGGAGAAAACCTTCGACTTTCGGCAGAGCGTTGACTGACTCTTTTCACATGAGTCCGTAGCGAGAATCGAACCCACGATCTCAGAGGTGAAAGGCGCTTGTTCTGACAACTGCGTCACCGAAGCCCCATGGAATAATTAGCGACCTTAAGCATGTAGGACGGGAACGCGACGGCAAACAAACTCGTTGAACCAAATGATTGCAGAAGAAAACTTGTCTTCTATTTTCCATCGTATGAAAATAATACAGTTTAAGGATCAAAATTAACACAGGGTTTATGATTGAGAAAAGTTCTAGGACGCAATTTAAAATAGCAGTTGTCCCAGCTTGAAATGTAAGCGTTGTATAGAAGACGTGATAATCTGTATTTTGCCGTTGTAAAACAGAGCTACGGCGACGTCTAAAACGTCTGTGAGATTTCAATTATTAATTTCTGCTCGTTTTCTTGCTGATGTTATTGGCCGTTCTCGTTGCACTTTCGTTCTACAAGTGTAAAATGTAAGGCGGTTTTTTGACACGTCCCCGTACTAGAGTTTTGCTTAAGTTCGCTGTTAATTCGCTGGAGGAGGGATACAGTCTTCGAGTGACCTCTAGTTGTCTTGCTCCGATAAGTATATCTGCACCAGTAATAATAACAGCTCAGCACTTACCATCATGATTCTGTTTTCAGATGTTACAAGTGTTGAACCAAGAAGCGGCAGCCGCGCTGGTGGAACCATCCTAACAATCAAAGGAAAAGCATTCAGTTTTATTAAAGAGAATGTCAAAGTAACCGTGGGAGGTAAACTTTTCTTCAATTCTTGAAGTGACTGTGTTATCTTACGAGAGATACCGCGGGTGTCCCAAAAAGAACTGGACACTGTTTAATTTCATGTAACGTAAAAGCTATAAAAGCTAAATTAAGATCATTACATTTAGAAAGGACTAACTTAGATTTTTATATATAACACTTGAATTTACATGCAATATTGACTGCGCTATTGATGTTTGAATGTTGATCTACTCTTTTAGAAAATGCAAAAAATTAGCATAAAACAACCTTATAATTACCGATGTAGTTATACTTGTTAAATAACAAATATTTTTATTTTGGTGAAAGGAATGCATGAACAACAAGTTTGTTTACAATTTATTCGTTAGGAATAAACAGTAAATTTGCATGCTAGAAAATGATCTCAAATTAAAGTTAATATTATACCATAACAATATTTGTATTGGAGTTTCACAAACATATATACATCTTACATATCCTCCACAGCAAAAGTGACCAAAAAAAATCGATGTTCCTAACTGGACCACTAGGGAGAACAGTTTTGAACTGTTTAGTTACCTAATATAAATAAAATTAGTTCAGCTGAGATTTCCTCCTGTAGTGATATTCAACAAATAAAGAATAGACCTTACTTGACTTCTAGGGAGAACGATTTGGGACAGATCTGATAACCTAATCTGTCAGTTTAGCATTCTAGGTTTTTAGTCAATTTATGTAATTTTCCACAGGTGTTCCATGTGAAGTCCTTACGAGCAATCGAGATACAATCACGTGTAAGACAGGCGCACTTCGTGAAGAAAATGAAGGCAGAGAATTCTACCCAGGTTTGTATGTCAACGTTGATGTCGTCGTATAATTTTACCTCTAACAATGCTCGTACCCAGTGACTCGGATGAGTCACTCTCATCAAACACTCGGATGAGTCATAGTTTAGCGATGGATTCTTGTTAGAGGTTTGAAGGAGACTCGCATTTACAGGGTAATCGAAGTTTGTCAACAAGTTGTCTTTGCACTGCTTGCCACAAGTTGTCAACAAGTTTGGAACAAGCTGATAACAATTTGTAACAACCTTGTTGATATTATCAAGCTTGTTAAAAGGTTGTTCCAACAAGTCCGATACAGTCATGATATAGCAGTATTGTCACAACCTTGTGTCGTCAAAATTGTAACATTCTTGTTATATCATGACTGTATCAGACCTGTTAGAACAACCTTGTGACAAGTCTGATAATGCCATCAACCTTGTTACAAGTTGTTAACAGCTTGTTCCAACAACTGGGAACAAGCAGTGCGAAGACAACTTGTTGACAGCTTGTGAACAGATTTGTAATAACTTGTTTGCAGACTTGTAACAACTAGTGCGTTTTTACGTGTGTAATTGGCATGGTTTTTCAACTTCGCGATATAAGAGAAGAGAACCCATATACTTATCTCTATCCAAAATGTACGAGCTTTGTCATGCAGATGACTTTAACCCTTCCTTCTTAATTTCAACTCTTAATTATTTCACATTGACTAGGTGGTCGAGGGTTCATATGTGATACATGGCCAATAGAGCAAAGGATTTCCAACGTACGCGACTTTAATCCCAACGCAACATACGTACATAGTCATATCCATCAGATGCACACAGATTTTGCCACGTATGTCAACGATCCATCATTTGTGAAACCAACTTACTGGTTGGTTGGTCGGCTGACTGCCTACTTCGTGCCACCTTCCAGTGGAATTTACAGATTTGGTTCGACATCTGCCGAGCGCAGCGTTGTGTATTTCAGTAACACTAGTTCACCTTTGGATAAGGTAAGTGATAGCTCAATTTCCATATTAACAAGCACAATTTAAATGCAGCGATTTTTTACACTCCTAAACTAAATACCGGAAAGCATCTGTATTGAAAGATTGCTCTACATAAGCTGAAAACTATATTTAATAAACCGTTTGAACTTGAGTCTAGTAAAAATCTACAAAAAAAAACACATGAATTTGAAGACTACTATACCTTCCCTAAGCCCCAAAATAAACTCAGACGAGAAATAATTCAACTGACCCAGATAATTCAAATTGAAGTTTACCTGTACAGTACTTATACTAAGAACCAATAGTTTGAAGTTTAAACTAGTAAGAATCTACTACAAAGGACGTGTATTTCAAGACCACTACCTACACTGAGAACCAACAGTTTGGCGTTTAGGCTAGGACGTGCATTTCGAGACCAAACTAAACACCAACCGTTTGAAGAGAGAAAAAGAGAGGAAAAAAATAGAAAAAAAGTACAACAATGTGCATTTCAAGATTCCTACCTAATTTGAAAACCAAGATGCAAACAAAGTTTACTGCTATATTCGTACATGATACATCCTCTTTAATTTTAGAGAGAAATTGCTTCCAACCCATACTACACCGGTTCATACAATTGGAACAAGTTTGAAACGCAGTGGTCAGAACGTATGTACCTTGAGGATGGCCGTGCGTATTATATTGCAATTGAAGGAGATTATCGTTATTACCACGGATACGTTCTAAACCTCGGCATGCACAAAGAAACAACAAGTCTTACAGAGGAGGATGTTCCCATGGCCGTACAGGAACAGCAATATTTGAAAATCTATAACACGATTGAGAAGGAGGCACAGGTATTTCAAAATAAATGAAGTTCTCCTTATTTTTTGAGGTATTTCAGCCACATGGTAGTTTATTGTAGAATACTACCTACACTGGACCTCCACGGTTGAGATATCTTTTTCAGGTAGTTCAGACACAAACCACGACAGCTTATTGTAGAATACTACCTACACTGGACCACCACGTTTGAAATATATTTTTCAGGTATATCAGACACAAACCACGACAGCTTATTGTAAAATACGACCTTCACTGGACCACCACATTTGAGATATCTTTTTCAGGTAGTTCAGACACAAACCACGACAGCTTATTGTAGAATACTACCTGCACTGGACCACCACGTTTGAGATATTTTTTCAGGTAGTTGAGACACAAACCACGACAGCTTACTGTACAATACTACCCACACTAGACCACCACGTTTGAGATGGACCCCACATGGACCCCATCATCATAGAATGCACAGTTCGCTAGGAATAATTTGTGAAATTTAAATTTTTAGACAATTACGTATGAGAACTGGACAGATGGGTTCGTCCAACAGGAAGAACAACTAGTGACGGTGAAGCAATGTTCATTGGTGAACAATCTATGTCAACAACCACCACCATTCAGCTTAAACTACAACGGGTCTCTAACTGGGTCTCTAACTCCAAACATTTCTGCTGCAGATCTTCAAACTGCACTCAATGTTCTTCCTTCAATAAGTAATGCTGGGTCTGTCACAGTGACCTTGGAATCGTCCGACAGCCAGGAGAATGTTTACAGGGTTGAATTTAACTTTGCCGAACCTGAAACGACTTCAATGCTGCAGGATGGAAGTCAGTTACGAGGACAGTTTGTGAGCGTGGCCGTTGACAAGGCTGGGATAAACTCAGACAAAGGATTCAGGTTAAGCCTTGGTGGAAAACGAACACAAGTGATTCCACCAAATGTGACCGAGGCAGAACTGGAAAGTACCTTTACTCAACTTTTCACCACGCAATGCACATTCTCTGCAAATACAGGTAACATACGATGATGCTCTTCCATAGTGATGTAAGGGCGTAGCCAGAACCAAAGGAATAGGGAGTCCGGGGCATGGGGGCGAGAATCTAACCCATGGTCACAAAGTGTAACCTAACAGCGTTCTAACCACTGAGCGTACCATTGAGACACTCAAAAATATTTTTGTATACAATCAATCCCGCGGATACCAAATCCACATATATAAGAGGAGTTGTGAGATGATTTGAAGTTGACCCAACATGGAATGATAATTGTTGTCTTCAGAATCCTAATTTGTGGTGTACTTACATCAAAGTATATTTTGGTTGAGGGTTGTTGTGGCGAGACTTGGTGCAATAAGAACGTATGCAAAGGAGACTAGGATTACCGTATTAACAAAAGATAAGTTTGTTCCTTGACCTTTTACAAATCTGCATTAGTTAGGAAGGGTGGAAAGTATGTCAAATTGCATAATATATATATATATATATATATATATATATATATATATATATATATATATATATATATATATATATATATATATATATATATATATATATATATATATTATTGGAAATATATTATATAAAAAAATTGGAAGAAAGGAGTGTGAGGATTAATGAATTGAATTATAATAGGCGGTTACGGAAATATTTTAGAGACAGAATTTCACCTTCGGAAAGAATACAGACAGAATTAGTAGAAGTGAATGGATTGGTCTCGGAGAGATGTAAACCTATTAATCTGACAGACATTTCCCTCGATGAAAATTTTGTACAGCTGTGTAGTTATGGTCCAACGTTTGTTCCAACACCTAGTACAATTGACTGGAATGAGATACAACAGGCTTGGTTAACCTTTAAGAAGAAGATTAGATGGCGAACATTGTTTCATTCAAAGCAACCAGCTAGTAAAGAAGTAAATAATTTAGACCCGCCTTATCAGAAGTCCATAAAAGATCCACCAATGGCAAGTATACCAGCAATTGAAGTATTTTTAAACAGAGTAGAAAATGATTTGTTTAGACAAACAGTATACAAGAATATTGATGATAATTTAAAACCAGAGGAAAGGAAAGTTCTAAATGAGTTTAGATCAAAATCGATAGATGAACAAGATATTATTATAAGAATGCAAGATAAAGGCAATAACTTTGTTGTATTAAACAAAACATAGATCAAAATAAGGTTAAAGAACAAATGGAGCGTGGTAGTTTTAAAATTATTGATAAAGATCCCTCGTTAGATACATTTAAGGATATTAATGAGTGGGTGGAAAAGTGGAAACATTTAAGTTTATCGGATAAGTGGGTAAAATTTATTACCGGTGCCACTGATGTTCATCCTGGAATAAATTACCCACTTATTAAAACACATAAAGCCAACAACCCTGCTAGAGTGATTACCTCAGGTTGTGGGACTCCCACCGAGAATTTGTCTCTCTTTGTGGAAACATACTGTAAAGTGGTTGTTGATTCTATTGAGTGTAGGGTTAAGGATACGGTACATATGCTTCAAATAGTGGATGAGCTTAATGACACCGGCATATTAGAAAGTGATTTATTAGTAAGTTTTGACATCGTGAATATGTTTCCATCTATTAATAATAAAACCGGAGTGGAACGGGTGCGTAAAAAGCTTACACAATTTTCGGAAAAATTTGATGTGCCTGTGGAATGTATAATTGAGGCCTTGGAGATCTGCCTCTATAAGAATTGTTCCACATATCAGGGACAATATTGGCTACAAACAGATGGCACTGCAATGGGTCCGAAGAATTCTTGCTCATATGCAGATATTGTCGCTGAATGTGTTGATTTAAGAGTTATAGAATCTAAAATAAATTTTCCAGAATTGCGGGTTTGGTTTCGTTTTAGAGATGACACATTTGTGCCTTGGAGAGGTACAGTACAAAGGCTTAATACCTTTTTTACTGCCCTCAATTCTTTTGATCAAAACTTACAATTTACAATGGACATCGGTGGAAAGTCTTTGAATTTTTTAGATTTATCTATTACCAATCTGGGTAATTGTTTAGTTACATCGGTGTATAGTAAGCCCACAGATGCCCATGTATATTTAAATGCCAAATCGTGTCATCCAAAGTCCCAGATAATGGGGATAGCAAAAGGAGTAGCGTTAAGAATACGGAGAATATGTTCGGATGAGGATGATTTTCATAACAAATGTAATGAGTATGCCAATTATTTGATAGCCAGTGGGCATGATAAACAGCATGTCAAAAATATATTTGAGGAGGTTGCAGCTATTAGTAGGCATGAAGCCAGGAAAAAGAAGAAAATATAATAGGAATTTATGTATTTTTTCGACCAAATACAATCCCAGAGGACCAGATATCCGTAAGATCTTAAATAAACATCATAGAGAAATTATTTGTAACGATGAAAAGGCCATTGAGGTTTTACCAGAGGGAGCCATTTGTGTGGCATATAAACGTAATGCCAACTTAAAAGAATTGTTGGCCCCCTCTAATCCATTTAAAATTAAAAGCCGGTCGTATAGGGAAACTACAGGTTGTTTTAGGTGTAAAGCCAAGCGATGTGACTGTTGTAAAAACTTTTTAGAAGAAGGTTCCACCTTTAGTTCCACAGTTTCTAAAAGAGTATTTCAGATTGGTAAAGATCTTACTTGCACCTCCGATAATGTTGTTTATCTTGCTAGTTGTGTTACTTGCAATTTGCAAGGAGTGGGTTCTACTATCAATTTTAAGACCCGACTCGCTAATTACAAGTCTCACATCAAACGTAATAAGAGAACCTGTGGTATTGTTAACCATTTTCTGGATTGTCATGGTGCTGATTATTCATTGTTGAAATTCATGCTAATTGATCGGCGCCAGGGCAACCTAAGGGAATGTGAAAATTTTTGGATTGGTATGCTATTGACTAATCGAAGAGGACTTAACTCTACGCATGATTTTGTACAACAATAGGATTAGGTTAATTACTTAGCATGCTAAATAGTATAAATGCCATGTGCCGTAACTTAGTTTTTATTCTGAGGAAGGCCGTGTCAAGTGGCCGAAAATTTATTATTTGTATACTTTACTTTAGTCATCTTTAATAAATTCTTCGATACGTAGCCATCTCTTTGTCGTAATATATATATATATATATATATATATATATATATATATACAGTCATTGCCAAAAAGGTTGTCCAGATGAAATATATCTAAATACCTAAATATCGATCACGTGACATGTATTTATTCGTGGGTATTCGTGGGGCGTGCGTGGTAATTGCGTGTTCGATTAGCGTGGTGAAATTTTCCACAATGCCAAGGCCTTATTCGAATGATTTACGCTGGAGGATGATATATCAACGATATATTTATAATAGAAGCTGTGAGGATATAGCTTCACAATTATTTGTTTGAAAAGCGTCTATCGGACATTTAGAACTTTTGTAAACACGGGTGATGTGAAACCATGCCGTCTTGGTCGCCCGACGGGAAGCATAACACTATTTCCCCATGAAGAATACATTATAATGGATTGTAGTACTACACTTCGCAACCCGCAAATGCAGCTCCATGAAATGGCTGATAATATCGCCAATGTCACTGGATCAGCGTTTGGACCCGCGGAGACGCTATGCCGTGCTCTATATAGGCTTGGAATAACGCGTATAAGAAGTTAAGCTGTAACATTTTCAATAAGTTAGTATGGCTGGCTATAACACACATATTGTTTCACCGAGCCGGCCTATGAGCAATGATTAATACGTCTTATAATAAAAAAATGTGATAATTTTGAAAACTGATTTCTTTTTCTCCAGATACAGAGAGTTGCTCTTCAGCAAAACGAGAACCTCAGGCAACAATTCAAGGCCGAAATCAGCGTATTTAGCCCAAACCAACTAGTTTTCGTCGATGAAACTGGCATTGTATGTAGGCGAACAAAACATAATTATACCTGTCGTTTTACTGTTAAGAACTGATCACATTCCTATATTTATTTAGCTGTACTTTTGTTTAAAGATAAACGGATAACTCGTCCCGTCGTCCGTGATTACAGCTATGCTCGGTGGGCACCTCATTATTCGGCTATATCAGCAATTTCGAGTGATGAACCGTTCAACGGGGGAAAACCCGCGATCTGTATCGTAATGGGTAAGAGTAATTAATGCAAAATTAACTAACTTAATGTGTATATAAATAAAACCAATACTTGTTATTGTTATAAGCACAAGTTTTTAAGCCCCTGCATGGGAATTTTCAACCTATTGTATGTCAAGTCTTTCGTAATTAGTCATACAGTATCTCATTAGTTCGATTATAATTCTGTTTTACCATAGACAATCCAGAAGACATACATACAAGCAAAAAAGCTAGTACTGTTAGAAGATTTATAATTGTATATATATGTAGCTATATCATTTAATAACCGTTGTGACAAATTAAAAACATAAATTTAAATTCTCGTGGAGACTCTTATAAAAGTAATATTTGCTGGAACTTGCAACGTATAGAACGTCGGAGACAAAGGATTGCTTTATACAACCTTGCACTCAATTGTATTCATTACAAACATTATATTGATCGAATTAAGTAGACCTCATAATGTGTTCTACAGTAGAATAACTCTTATAAGAGAGTATAGGAGAGTAGAATATGCGCAGCACTAAAAAATTCGTTTCCTGTATAAAAATGTAGTTTTGCACTTTAGAAAAGCTTATAAAACCAAATAAATTAAGTTTTTAAAACTATTTCAAATAGTCAAATGTAGCCAGCGTGATGCATGTATCCGGAACAGTCATTCGACGTAATTTGTCCGTATGCATTCCAGATTAGGGGGCTAGGATATTGCAATAAGTGTAGTACCAAGTGATTCTGATGCAAATAGTGTTTAACATTCGCAAATACTTCTTCTATCTAATTGCTCCATAGTCATAAACACGTTCTATGACTTCTTGGACATGATGAACAGCGTGATTGTCTGTTGAAAGAAAGCACATGCATGCATGCTATTAGTTTCTTTAAAGTTTGTCTTTTGCAATAATTTTCATATTACTAATAATATATGAAACGTCATAAAAACCAAGAACTTTTTAAATCAAGCTATTGGAGTGATAGAATTTCAATGCCTAAGTAATACGCAAAACTCACGGGTTCGTGTGTAAAATAGAATTATAATCGAACTAATGAGATGAATAATTACGAAAGACTTGACATACAATAGGTCGAAAATTCCCAGGGGCTTAAAAACTTGTGCTTATAACAATAACAAGTATTGGTTTTATTTATATACACAGTAAGTTAGCTAATTTTGCATTAATTACTCTCACCCATGACGATAACAGATCGCGGGTTTTCCCCGTTGAACGGATTCATTGCCGGTAAAAGCTGCTCATTAAGAAATTGTATAAACGAATTCGCGTCAAATCTTTCCTCTGGATTTTTCATCAGTTGGTTAGCTATAAGCCCGTCACTCGAAATTGCTGATATAGCCGAATAATGAGGTGCCCACCGAACATAGCTGTAATCACGGACGACGGGACGTGTTCCACGAGCGCTATAACCATATTGTCGAGTTATCCGTTTATCCTTTAAACAAAAGTACAACTAAATAAATATAGGAATGTGATCAGTTCTTAACAGTAGAACAACAGGTATAATTATTTTTTGTTAGCCTACATACAATGCCAGTTTCATCGACGAAAACTAGTTGGTTTGGGCTAAATACGCTGATTTCGGCCTTGAATTGTTGCCTGAGGTTCTCGTTTTGTTGAAGAGCAACTCTCTGCATGTATCTGGAGAAAAGGAAACTGATCAGTTTTCAAAATTATCACATTTTTTTATTATAAGACGAATTAATCATTGCTCAACTCTATCAGTTCTAAACTGTTCTTCCTAGAGGTCCAGTAAGGATCATCTCTTATTGATCCAGTGTTACTACAGGAGGAAACCTAAACTAACTTTATTTATGCTGGATAGCTCTATCAGTTCTAAACTGTTCTTCCTAGAGGTCCAGTAAGGATCATCTCTTATTGATCCAGTGTTACTACAGGAGGAAACCTAAACTAAACTAACTTTATTTATACTGGATAGCTCTATCGGTTCTAAACTGTTCTTCCTAGAGGTCCAGTAAGGATCATCTCTTA